TTGCCCCATGGTCGTACTTACCAGAGGCTTTTGCAAAGTGTGTGTATACTACATCTGAATTTAGCTTGTCTTCCAGTGTATCCAAGACCACGTCGTAATAGTTCAGTAACTCCAAGAGGCAGGAACAGTCTGTTTTGAACCTATGCTGACATGGGCAGTGCAACTGCTGGGGTTCCATGTGATTGAAGCTCTTGTTTCTTGAAGCCTTTTCAAAAATTTTAATTTTGTGGAACATCAGCGCTATAAGTATAGTCTTTAGCAATTGCTTTACTGCCACCTTTTGGAGTGGAGCTGTATCAGTGGTTTTTAAGATTGTGGGATGACCTCAGTGTTCCGTTCCTCCTCCATAGAATATTTAAGATACATGTTAATGTCTTTTTGCAATTCTTGATGAATATGCGTAGACTTTTATTAGACCGGGCCTGGGCCAGAATGTATGGCTTCTTCGAAGTTAAATGAGGGTTAGGGTTTTATCAGAGATTAGGGAGATGACTGAACCATTGTGTGTTTCATAAAGAATTTATCTGGGTCGTCAGTCTTTAGGCTGATTAACGGTTCACTGAACACTAAATCATACTGGGATTTAAGTATTTCATTCATTTCTTTATTGCCATCAGAGTATGTTTCATCTCCTTAAATCAAAATCCTGATACATACGAGAATAGGTGTTTTGGATTTCTTTCAGTTTCGTTTATGACTTTTTGATCCCTTTGTTTCTCCTGGCCTCTGTATGATTCATTTAATTTAAGCTCAATGTTTTCAAATTCTGTAGCATTTGAAAAGCTCTGTTATTTATCGTCTTCGCCTACAGAGGACACAGCTCTCCCTTTCCAATGTGCACCTTCTGGAACATATTTCCAGTGACACTAAGCTCTTTCTCTTAAAATACTGGTTCAGGTCGTCATTTACCATATTGTCTTCTCAGCATATGATAGTAAGCTTAGGATTTATTAGCTCCCAGTTGGTGTTCTTGTTAAAGTTAAATTTGAGCATACCCTCATGATTGTGTATGTTTTGCTGATCATAATCAGCGAGTGTGCATGTTTGAACTTCTGTTAGATTGCGATTTATGTTTGCTGTCTTTGACACTATTATGTACGGTAACAGGTTTTCATTATTTGTGAATATAAGGTATAGAATATTTTCTAGTATGGTCTGTTCTGCTATTTGCTGTCACAAGGTGAATTTGTTACAGAATTTTAGTAGCTCAGTTAAGATAGACTGTTTATCAGAACTCCTGGGATATTCTTTATTAGTACAGTCTTCGCTACATTCTTCCATTTTATGTGTTTTAAAAATGAAGTCACCAGGTAATTGAATATTTTAGGCTGGGTTTGAGAGGTTCTCCAGACAGTACTTGACTTTCACTGGCTGGTCTTTGAACTTCTGGAAAGTTTTATCTTGTGGATGATGCAAGTACAACAACTAGATTTCGATGTTCAATTTTAACCACCAAAACTTGTGGTGTTAAGTATCTCAGTACCTATGAGCATATCTTTAACATACAGACAAATCTCCCTTCGATGTCTGTTTTTCCGGTCGCATTTAATTAGATAGTACCCAGGAATCCATAATTTAATTGTCAAAGTAGCCTTTCATTAACGTGGGTCTCTGTAACTTCAGCAAACATTGCATTAGAATAAGCTAAGAGACACTAATTAATGTTAATTTGTTGTTACTCGGTTAAAGACCTTGTATGTTTGCAAAGACAAATTATATTATGTTGCTTGTTATTTTGCTGGGAGGCTATTTTGTTAGTTTTAATATGTGATTCTAAGGACCCTGTCAGTCCAGGATGGTTCCTAAGTGGTGATGTATTATTACCATCTCTTGTCATTCTTTTCCATTTCCTGGCACTAAAAAGTCTCGGCTATCTGTATGGTTGAAGTTTTCACGATGCAATGTATGCTCATGTTGTTTAGTTTTCATCACAAGGAATTTCAGGCAGTTTGCATCATAACTTTATCTCTCGTGTACTGAGTAACTGCATATTATGAAGTGACAATATGTATAGGTACTAGCATGACATACTCCTTTAATCTGGAGAAGGCGGCATTTTTCTTGAAAGATCGTGCTGATACATTCCATTTCTATTTCCACTATACCTGCGAGTTCTTCATGTATAGAGCAGAAACACTTGGATTTCTGATAACCGCGTTTTATCGTATCCAGGTTGGGTATCGATTTGTATCCAGTGATTACACTAAACTCATGTGTTAGTGAATCTGTAATTGAGCCTTTAGTAGAACAATATTAGGGCTAAAAGTTGTGTGTGTGGGGGGAGGGGGGGTTGCTGGTCTGGGTACATGTATCTTTTCCTTTGAGTCTGCATTCATATCAGAGTTTCCTGATGAAAAAGACTATTTTGAAAACAGTTATCAACAGTTTCTCTCTGACATTCCTGCTCCGTGAAAGTCACCCTTTGGATTATTTTACTCCCGTTTTCTATATCAGCTTTTCTCTCCCATTCCTTATAAATCCCACGTTGACTATCCACTAGACCAGAGAGAGGTTTTGTTCTTCAGATTTTCTCTAGTCAGGACCTTCCTCAGTATTTTCCTGAAACCTCTCCATAATTCTAAGCGTTGGAGGATGTGCTGGTGGTGGTAACGTCCTGAGCCATAAACCAGCTGCTACATTCGCTCACTTTCCTATTAAATGGTTCCCTTTGTATTTAAACGCTTCACTAATTTCCTAACCTTTTAGCTAAGAAATTTTTCCCTCTTACATTTACTGACAACAACATATCACAGAGATGTTCTTATCTGAGCGTAATCTTCATTTCCAGTTTTCACTCAGTGTTCCTCTTGGCAGCTTCCCTCCCACACATCCAGTGTTTACACTACACCAACAAACAGACGAACAAGACTCCTCATTTCACTGACATCACAAACTTGCTATGTTTCCTTTTACTTTTAATATGTAATTTCTTTGAGCATTATTTACTGAGAGGAGCTCCTTGAATCCCCCTACTTCGTTAAAAACTTTCTACTTTTGCACAAATAACTGCACACGAGACTGAAAGTTATGACAGCGCCATAAGTTACAGTCTCCTATTTGCAAGTTATTAATGTATTGATACAGTCACGGTACTGTGCCTTTTCATTCTTTTCTAATTTTGCCTAGTAATACTAATAGTAACTCTAACACTGATGCACTGTGCACTATTTTCTATAGTACTGTTCCACTAATCACAACTTTTTGTACATGTGCTATTAGAGAAAAATTCTGAATATGTTTAGGGAAAAACTGGCGGCAATTCGTAGGCCACCGCCGTTCAAACACCTTTTTTATATATATATATATATTTTTTTTTTTTTTTTTTTTTTTTTTTTTTTTTTTTTTTTTTTTTTTATTCGCCGGTATTCTCCCGGCCCGGGTCTTTTCCAAGTAGTGGTGACCCGGCCTTGGCTCCCTATCTGGGGAGTGTCTCGAGACCTAAGTCTCCCATGGGAGGAGGTACAAGTACCCCCCTCATCTTTAGGACCAACTGTCCCTAGGCCTAGCCACATTCCCCGCCCTCACGGGGCTCGTAGTGAGAAGCTAGACCTCTGGTCTGCCATCTGCCCCGCCCCACAAAGGAGCTCGTGGGGATGGCAGTCTTATGAGCTGCAGGTGGTAGCAAGCTCAGGCTCTTTATATAATATAATTTTTTTTCGCGATAGGTACTGATATTCACAAAGATTTGCAATAAGGTTGTGTTGGAGCACTTTATGAAGACACCAACGTGTTTCCCTCACTTCAACTCATTAATGTTCTACCATATAACACTATTTGTCCGGAGCTCCGGTCCAACGCTTACACCGTCTAACATGAGGTAACAAATATAGTTGCATAGTAGTAGTAATGGAAGTAGATGCTCAAGGGCCATTTCTTGTAACATTTGTTTTCTCTTCATATTCATAAACTATTTTAAAATTAGTAGCCTAAGATTCATACTCTGCACCACACTCAGGTCACACTAATTATTTCGGGCTACACAGTCGATTAAACAACTGGCCTTGAACATCATGTGATCCCAGGTGTTTCTTTTCTTAATTCCTCTATCATAATTGCTGCCACCACCCGCATTATCTTTGATCTGGCAGACATTCTTAATTAAATAGTTGATACAGAACGTCAACACATCATCATCATACCCTTGACTATACTACTACTTCCAGTAGGTGAGCTAAGACCCATGTCGCCTTCCAGAGCAAACACTTGTGGATAAAATTATTGGAGATGAAGGGAATGGACACGTATTTTTCGTGTTATTATATTTACAAAAACAAATCATTAGTTACACGGACACACACCTCACTTAATCAATAACTAAACTGGTTATGAACGTTAGTTTAAGTTAGTTTAATATGTTTATTATGCACCCCATACCCTTCCTGTGGGCGGTAGTCAAAAGATTACAGAGGTACATAATTGGTCCAGGGACTGGACTGAGCAAGTTACGAATGGAATCGGCCAAATATCAGTTCAGTCAGTTGGCATCTCTGCCTAGGCGCTGAGATCAGTGTGTAATATATTGATTATGCAATAAGATAACAGTAAACAGGTGATGTCACAATATGCTGAACAACCACTGTGGAAAAAATAGTGAAATTACAATCGTTTTCGTGACTTCTCACATTATCAAGGAACTGTGATAATGTGAGAAGTCACGAAATCGCTTGGAATTTCATTATTTTTTCACAGTGGTTGTTCTGCATATATTGCTTATCTTTTATTGCAATTTTCATACAACTATTTTTATTAATTATTAAACCAACTCAGTACTGTCGTAAATTATTCCATTAATTCTATTAAAAGTCCATTCGGGCTATAATGATGACTATTGTAGCTAAACAATGCCCACAGAATGAGCACTGGATAGCTACCTCTTACAAGACGGGTATGGAATCCACTATAAAACTATAAAACTCAAATTGCCAAATCACAGTATGAATCTACATAATTAATTTTTTATGCTGGTATCAGTATATCTCCTAATCAAACAGTTTCACGCGAGGAGTGTCGAGGATGAAGCCGTTGGTGTTGGTGAGTGTGGGTGTGTTGGTGTTGGTGATGGTGTCGCCTCCGGATCTCTGTCAGGCTCAGGAGACGGAGGCATTGGTCAGCCTCCTCATCAGTAAGCTAGCTGGGTGAGTCTCAGTGTTTGTAAACTTGGTTGACAACTTTGGTTTGACGCTATTCAAAATATCCTATGTAATATTCTTTTTTACGTGTACGGTGTGTGACGGTGTGGTCGTTTTAGAAAGTTATAAAAATTCTTTGTTTTAGCCTATGGCACAACGATCAGGTGAACTTCATGGGCCACATCTGCCACTACAGTTACCGTCCGACCATCTCCAGGTGGCAGCTGTACTACAAGGGAAAAATGTGGTGTCCTGGGTGGGCTCCATTCTCGGGCAATTGTAAGTATTCCTGTGGAGATGCAAAGTACACTCCCAGGTACTTGGATTAAAGTGTTATAAACATTGATTGATGAAAAGTGAGAAACATCTTGAACATGTAAAAAAGAGGTATGTCTATTCCGAGCTCAATCAGAAACCCTTTTTAGCAGAGGGTTTTAAATAAAGCCCACGTATTCAGATCTACGAGAGAAGAACAAAAATGGAGAAACAGTGCAGTGGATTACCTGACAATGCTAGGCAGGTCATACTCATACAAACACTACCACATGCTAGGCAGGTCATACTCGTACAAACACTACCACTCATTACCCGAGCAACTGTGCAACCTATTTTTAAAGTTACTTGTTTTTTGTTTTTCTGCTTAACTGATTTATCAGGTTTAACATAAGCGAATGTAAAAATTAATGCAGCACCGGCAACCATGATAGTAATAGAATAATAGAAAATTCACAGTACGCTGAATTTCAATAATCATTCTAGAGATTTCTATAAAAGAAATTAGGAAATATCAAAATTTTAGGGGAAACTTCTTTAACGTTGATTTTTTTATTTATCAGCTAAAACTCCGGGCAGATCGGGAGCCGGGGGAGCCGCCACCAGAGATTTTCGTCAAAAGGGCCCCTCGAAAGTAATTTTTTAAAAACTAAAAGCAAGCTGCGGGGGGGGTTTCCAACCCAACAAAGAACTTTTTCATAGCCCTTGAGGGCCCTTCGAAAGGGATAGCCCCATCTGATTTTTCAACAAGGGAAAAAAGTAAACCTGATGTCTTGACCCCTGAGTTTCACTAAAAGAAAGGGACAAGACATCTTTTGTTGGATTTTACACGATGCATCTGATGATAAATGAAAGAAGCCCAATGGTTTCTTTTTTAAGATGTGAAAAAGAAGCCCAAAAGATCTTTTCTGTTGGGGTTTTGAAAGAAACCAAAAGCCCTCTCTTTTTGTTGAGGGTTTGCTTTGAAAAATTCTTTTCTTCCCGGGGGAAAATTTTCCTTGTTTTTTGGGGCAACAAAGTTCTCAAATTTGGTTTTTAAAAAAAAAATGCTGTTAAAATAAATGCGAATAAAAAATTGATACAATTCGGAGAAAAATTGGGGGACTACCCTCGGGTTTTGAGTTACAATATGTGAAAAAAATTTGGTAAAATACAAATTTTAATAAAAAATAATTTTTTCATTAAAAATAGGGTCATAAAATTACCCCATAACATAAAATTTATTCCCCTTTTTACTTTTTTAGGAAAAATGTTTTTTATAAATAAACGTTTTTAAAATCTATGGAAGAAAAAAAAAATTTGGAGCACTCCTTTTAAAAATAAATTTATGCGAAATAATGTTTATCTGAAAATAAAAATTGAAATAAAAAAAGGGTTGAGGTTTTTTTTAATGATTTCTCACACAAGTTTTTTTGGGAAGGGGAATTAAAAGTGCTTAATGTAACGCTTTTTTTCTGTAAGTAGTACATGTTACTGTAGGAAAGAACATTTTTACTGTAATAGTACTGTTACTGAGGGTAGTACTTGTTACTGTGGGTTTGGGTACTTTTTTACTGTGGTAGAAACATTTACTGTAAGTAGTACATTTTTCCGTAGGTAGAAATTTGTTACGTGGGGTAAACTTTTTAAATGAAATAAACATGTAACTGTAATAGAAAATTTAAAATTTTAAAAGATTTCATGTTACTGAAAGTAGTAATGTTTAATGTAGGTGTACATTTTAACTGTAATTTACATTTTACGTAGGTAGTCCCTGTTCTTTTGGTAGTCCCCAATGTTACGTAAGTAGTAATGTTACTGTAATTAGTACATGTTATGTAGGAAGTCACGTTACTGTAGGTGTACAATTTTTACTGAAGTAGTAAAATTTACTGAAAGTAGTACATGTTACTGAAAGTAGAAAATGTTTTGTGGGTTTTAATGTTACTGAAAGTAGTAATGTTTAACTTAAGTATTTACATGTTACGTAAGAGTACATTTTTCTGTGGGTTTAAAAAATGTTACTGAGGTAATTTTTTTAAAAACGTAGGTAGTAAAAATTTTAAACTGTAATTATACTTTGTTACTGTAAGTAGTAAATGTTAATGTAGGTAGTACCGTTATTTGAAAGGTAGTCCCATGTTACGAAAAGTAAACATGTTACTGTAAGTAGTACATTTTTACTGTGGGGTTGGGTCCCATTTTACTGAATTGTACATGTTATGTAAAAAGTACATTTTAACGGTGGTAACACGTTTCTGTGGGTATTACATTTACTGTAGGTAGTAAATTTTTACGGTAAAGTAGTAAAATGTTACTGTAGGGGGTAAAGTTACGTAATTTAAAAAATTTTTCGTAAGAAGTACATTTTCCTGTGGGAGTACACGTTCCTGTGGTAGAACATTTTCCCAAAAGTTTTTCTTTTTTCTTTTAAGAAGTAAATTTTTACGTAGGTAGTCCCACGTTACTGAGGTAGTACTTGTTACGGGAAAGTAGTAAAATTTTACTGTAAGAAATTTAAATTTTAAACTGAAAGTAGACTTTTTTACTTTAGGTAGAAAACATTTTAAACTGTGGGTTTAGTACATTTTAAATTTTAAGAAGAAAAATTTTTAATGTAAGTTTTAAAATTTTTCTGTAAGTGTACCTTTTTACTGTAAAAGTCCATTTTTACTGTAATATACATGTTTTACGGGTAGGTATTACTTTGTTACGGGTAGGTAGTGTAGTTACGTAGGTAGTACATTTTTACGTAAGTATCCATGTTACGTAAGTAGTACATTTTAAATGAAAGGAGTCCCACGTTAATGTAGGAAATAATGTTACTGAAAGTAGTAAAAGTTACTGTAAGTAGTCAATGTTACTGTGGGTTGTAATGTTACTGTGGGTAGTCATGTTACTGAAAAGGGTACATGTTACGTGGAAATTACACGTTACGGTAGGTAGAAACCTGTAACTGGGGGTTGTACATTTTTACTGTAGGAAGTCCCTTTAAACCCTGTGGGCCCGTCCCACTTCGTAGGAAATTTACATGTTACGTAGGTAGTACATGTTACTGTGGGTTTGTCCACGAAAAACGTGGGTTTGTACAGTTAGGGTGGGTTAGTACATGTTACGGGTAGGCAGAACACTTTTAACTGTAGGAAAGTACATTTTTGTGTAGGTAAAAATTTTTCCGTAGGTAGTACATGTTATTTTGGAAGTACATTTTACTGTGGGTTTTTAAAATGTTACTGTAAGTAGAAACATGTTACGTAGGGAATTTTAAACTGTGGGGTGAAACATTTTACGGGAAGGTAGTACAGGTTACTGAAGAATTTCCTTTTAACTGTGGGTTTAGTACATGTTACGTAGGGTTTTTCCATGTTCCCGTGGGTAGACATTTTTTACGGGTGGGCAGTAAATTTTTACTTAAGTATTAATTTTCCCTGTAGGAGTACATGTTACTGTAGGTATTTACATGTTACTGAAAGGTATTACATGTTATTAAGGTAGTACATGTTACTGTAAGTAGAACTTTTCTGTGGGGTAGTTACTTTGTTACTGAAAAGTAGTACATTTTTTCTGTAAGTAACATTTTATGTGGGTTTTAGAACATTTTTCTGAAGGTAGTACATTTTAACTGAAAGAAAGTCCCGGGTTCCCGTAAGTAGTACACATTACGGAAAGATACATGTTACGTAGGTATCTTTTAAACTTAAAGTAGAAACATGTTTACTGTAGGTATACATTTCCCTGTAAGTAGAAAACATTTTTAAGAAAGTGTACATGAAAACTGCAATTTAGTACATGTTACTGTAGGTAGTAAAATTTAAGTAGGTAGTACATTTTAAACTGTGGGGAATAATGTTACTGGGGTTATACAGGGGTTACTGTAAAAGTACATGTTACTGGTAGGTAGACATGTAAAGGGTAGGTTTAATTTTACTGGGGTATCACGTTACTGTAATATACATGTTACTGTAAGTAGTACATTTTTAAACTGTAGGTATTTCTGTTTACGGGGGGGGGGGGGTACATTTTTACGGGTAAGTAAAAAAGTTCTGTAAGTGGGGTACATGTTACTGGGTTTAAAAATTTTAAACGTAAGTAGAAACACGTTACGGGTAATATTAAAATTTTACGTAGGTATTTACATGTTACTGTAAGTAGTACTTTGTTACGTAAGAAAGTACATGTTACTGCAATTTGTAAAATTTTTACTTTTAGGTAGTCATGTTACTGTGGAAATAATTTTTAACGGGTAGGTAGTACATGTTTACTGTGGGTTAGTAAAATTTTTAACTGAAAGTGGACATTTACTGTAAGTAAAACATGTTACTGAAATTTAGTACATTTTAACTGTAAGTAGTACATTTTTACGGGAAGTAGTAAAATTTTTACGAAGTAGTAAAAATGTTACTGTGGGTATTTCAGGGTACTGTAGGTAGAAAATTTTAACTGTGGGTAGTACAGGGTTTCTGTAAGTAACATGTTTGAAAGGTATACATTTTTAAGAAAGTAGTACTTGTTACGTAAAGAAGTAAAGTTACTGAAAATAGTAATTTTTACTGTAGGAGTACATGTTACGTAAGAATACATGTTACTGCAAGTAGTACATTTTATGTGGGTGGGACAGTTACGAAAAGGTAGTACATGTTACTGTAGGTAGTAAAATGTTACTGAGGTAGAAAATTGTTATGAAAGTATTACATGTTACGAAAGAATTTCATTTACTGTAAGTAGTACATTTTTACTGTAAGTATACTGTTACTGTAAGTAGTAAAATTTTTCCCTGAAGAAAAAAACATGTTACGTGGTAGTCATGTTATTTGTAGGTAGTCCCTTTAAATGTAGGTAGAAACATTTTAACTGTAAGAATTTCATTTTCCCTTTTAGGAAAGAAAAAGGTTTCTGAAAAGTATACATGTTCGAATTAGAACATTTTAAACTGTAAGAAGTACATTTTAACTGTAGGTTTACATGTTACTGTAAAGAGAAAACAGGGTTACTGCAGAAGTAAAAATTTAATGTAATATTTAATTTTAATGTAGGTTTTTCTTGTTACGGGGTAGAACTTTTTCG